TTTTTTTTTTTGGGTACTCAGGTTTCTCCAGCTGGTTATGCTCCTCCAGAATTAAGACTGCATTTTTTCCTTATATCTAGGTGGTGAGAACAGAGAACTTGTTCAGAGGAGGAAGGAGAAATATAGACTAGAACTGTTGGAACAAATGGCCGAGCATCAGAGGAACAAGAGACGGTAATGAAAGGTTTGCATTTCAAAAAACTGGTTTGAATTTAAATAACCTCTTATAAAACGCATTTGGTTAAAATTAGGTGGTGGTAGTAACTATTCTGTAGCAAAATAAGGGCTGTTCTTCCTAATATAATCTTGAATATGTAAATCACTTATTTTTCAGTTTCCACACTGTAAATCAGTCAAGGCTATAGAATAGATACGATGTTAATGTTCATTGTCTATGTCATATACAAGTAATTAATTAGGCTGTGTATATATTTAATAATAACAAGACTTCTACATTGCTTCATTAACTTCCTCAATTTTTGATGGGGAGTAGAATTTAATGTTATCTGCATTTACTGCATTATCCCGTATATAGTAACAAATATACAAATATTTTATCTTTTTGTTATCTGAATTGGTAGGCATGCAGATACTATAAAAATAATTATATAGCAAGTTCCCATGAACTTTGTATTTTCTACAAGGTTGATTGTCTTTTTTTTTTTTTTTTACCAGTGTAATCTTTCTTGTAGAAAGATTAGTGAAATAGTAATTATATTTTAAAATTAGTAATAGGAATCTTGGTTCTAGAGAATTTGAACCTATCATCTTGTAGTTTGCTGTTTTTCCTTTTATCTTAGATCAAGACAGTATCTGCTGTCAGATGTTGTTGTTGTTAAGTGCCTTGGAGGAGTTGGTCTGGACTCAAAGCGACCTGTAGAGAGGGTTTACAAGGAGCAACTGGTGGGTTTGCACTGCCAACCTTGTGGCTAGCAGTCCAGTGCCTATTCTACAGCAGCACACCAGGACATCCTGTCAGATATTAACCACCGTTAACTAATAAAAGCATTTAGTAGAAAGTATGATACTCATATCTAACTTTTTTTTTTTCAATTAAAAAAATATATGTACCCTAAAAGAAGTTTTTGTTTCACAAAGTAAAGATTTTATTTCTGTACTTGACTCTGTGTGAATTGCTTAGTCTCTGATACATTCTCAACAGTGGTTTAAAGACACATATTGTAAGTTAATTCTATGTGAATTCCTGTTTACTTTGCTCTAAATGAGAAAATTACTTAAGGCATCATTGTCAGTTAGAGAAATTATTTGTAGCTGAAGAGCTTATTGCATAGAACTTGTATATAAGTTTATTTCAATAATTGTTATTATTTTTTAATGTATAAAACTTTACTTTCATTTAGAGAAAAAGATATGGAACTTAGTGTTGCAGCTTCTGGCGCACAAGACCCTGAGAAATCGGTGAGGGTCCATGGCATCCTTTAATATATAAGTCAGTGTTTGATTAAAAAAAAAACCCAATTGTGGTGATGAGGTGGAGATGGAGGATTTTGGAGAACTGTTAAAAGTAGGCCGATTTGAATCATCATAAATGAAATTCTGTTCTTATAAAACGTTTTAAGTGCTCTTAGTTGTTCTTTGTATCTGTTTTTCATTTGTGCATTATTTTTTAGTTTGCTTTACAGCAGTTGTATATATTTTGTTCAGATGTACCATGCCATGGGAAAGTTATCTCCATTTAATTTATAGTAGAAGTTCATGTTTTTCTTGGGTGTATCTTTACCACTGTTCATATATCAGCACTATTTTTAAGGAAATGGGCAGGTTTAATTCTGTCTTTAAGCATTTCACTAATTTTCATTTAATATAAAACTAGAAAGATAATAATAACCTTATTTTTACTTTAATTTTGCAATTCTTGTCACTAAGTGGATTGAATTACTCACATCATTGCAGTTAAGTGAGGAGGAGGTAATAATTTCTTGCTTTTATTAAAATGTAGTTTTTTTGTAGTTGGATATGTATTTTTTTTTCCTTAGGAGAGCTTGATATTTGAATGATGTTTAAGAATCTTATTTTCATTAAAGTGTTCATTTTCTAAAACAATTTAGCAACTTAAAATTGTTAAACTGTAGGCAACTCTTGATCTTAGTTTACATAGACTAAGAAGATATCCTGTAACCGGGTTATCTGTATAGAAAAGTGTACTACTGTATTTGGCTCACTCCCATTGAGCTTTTGAAGCTCATAAAATAAGACTTCTACATGAAACCCGAGAATTCCTGCAAACATGGTTGGAAATGGTGTTAACATTCCAAAGCTAAATATCTTTTTGTCAGTCAATAATTTTGAAATAGATTCGACCCTCAGAAACTTCCTTTTAAGATCTTGAACTTTTTAATGAAATATGGTGGCATGCTACATCTTGGAATTATAGACGCTTCAGTGTTTGACAGATCTTATTATTTGTGAGGAAGACTGTGAGTTTCAAATTGCTTTGCAAGAATAAATAAATGAACATTAGATACTTAATAGATCATTACTATGGGTTTATTTTGGTATGCAAATATTAGAAAACAACACATAAAAGATGATCTAGAGCAGAAGTCAGAAAACTGTGGTCTGTGGCCAAATCTACGTAGTGCCTGTTTCTGTAAATAGTTTTTTTGCAGTATAGCCTCCTTTGTTGGTTTACATGCCTGTGGCTGCTTTCTAGGGACAGCAGAGTTGAATAGTTTTGAAGAGGCCTTATGGCTTTCAAAGCCTAATACAGTTACTTTTGGCCATTTATAGAAAAAGTTTGCCTGAGGCCTGTTCTAGAGACTACTTTGATAGCAGAAGTGGCAGTTAGATCAAGAAATAGCATGAAGTTGTTGTATAATAGAAAGGAGCTCTGGTAGTGTAGTGGTTACAAATCAGGCTGTGAACTGCAAGGTCAGCAGTTCGAAACTACCAGCTGTTCCACGGGAGAAAGATGATGCTTTCTGCTCCTGTAAAGATTTACAGCCTCGGAAACCCTGTACAGGGTCGCTGTGAGTCGGTTCCGACTCCACGGCACATAACAACAACAACAACAACATAATAGAAAGAGTGCTATGTTTAGAATTAATATCTGACTCTAGCCCTTACTTGATTATTTAGGTGGCTTCAAGTGGTTTACATGCTTCCCGGGAGCAACAGTTACCTCATTTGTCGTGCAAAGATTGTTGTTAAGTACCATCAAATTGTTTCTGACTCATAGTGATGACCCTTTATGGGGTTTCCAAGGAGTAGTTGGTAGGTTTGAACCACCAGCCTTATGGTTAGCAGTCCAATGCTTATCCTACAATGCCACACGAAGATTCCAAAGTAAGCATTGTTGTTCTTGTTAAGTGCCCTTGTGTCACTTCTGACTCATAGGGACCCTGTACAGGGTTTCTGAGGAGTGGCTGGGTGGGTTTGAACCACTGACCATATATAGTTAGCAGTCCAGTGCTTATTCTACAGCAGAATACCGTGAGTCCAAAGTAAGGATTTGTTGTTGTCATGTGCTATGAGTCAGTTCCGACTCATAGTGACCCTGTACAGGGTTTCTGAGGCTGTAAATCTTTACGGGAATAGAAAGCCTCATCTTTATCCCACGGAACAGCTGGTAGTTTCGAACTGCTGACCCTGAGGTTAGCAGCCTGATTTGTAACCACTGCACTACCAGAGCTCCTTATAGTAAGGACTAGAGCTCCAAAATGTATTCTAGTTGTAAAATTCTGTTATTTGGTGACTAACTTAAGTACCTGTTGGCAGTCTGGGATAGAGGGTCTCTTGAGGTTCCTTCTACTTTTACGTTTCTGATTTTATATAACAGATTTTTTTTTTCCCATCATTTTAGCCTGATAGACTAAAGCAGCTTAGTATGACACCAAGACCCACTGAAGAAACTATACCGCCCGAAAGACCCAGAATAGCTTTCCAGACACCTCTCCCTCCTTTGTGTACCTCATCTGTCCCACCCATTTCATCAGATCACCTAGTCCCATCTCAAATCGAAGATCTGCATGATGGACTCAGCAGCACCCTTGGGGAAATGGTGCCTCCCAGGTGCTTGTTTATAATGCTTTGTATTTGGGAGCTGGGTTAATAGGTTTTGAAGAATGTGCTGAAGCAGGTAAACATTATCCTTCCGAGATTTTGTACAATCAACAGCTTCTGTCAAGTAATTTCTCTTCTTTTGTTCATTATTGGTCTTTTCCCTGCTAATATAAAAGCCATGGAAATCCTTATGACATTCTTTTATTGTTCATAGATGCTTTAGGATTTTCAGAATAAGTAAATACATTTTAGTATTTAATTTTTGGTTGTATTTTGAAATATCTATTTTAAATGCCTTTAAATGTATAAAAGCTATACATTTTAACTTTGTAATTTCCACTTGGCAAACATTGTATTTTTCTTCAATTTATACAGAAAAGTTTCTTATGTGACTCGTGTGTGTGTGTGTGTGTGTGTGTGTATGATTTTAAATTGTAGCTTCTGTTTCCTTTTACTTTCTCTATGATTACTTAGCAGCGCTACATCTTACATGCCCCAAATGAAAACTGTTGAGATTTTAAACAATTTTGTGGAAAAGATTAGATTCTGTAAGTGAAAGGCATCATATTAATGGTACTCTCACTAGATTGTGTTATTTACTGTTTTTATTGTTATTGTTAAGGGCTGTCCAGTCAGTTTCAACTCTAAGCAAATTTGTATAGGGTTTCTCAGGAGCAGCTGTTGGGTATGTGCTGCTGACTGTGCTGTTAAGTCTAGTGCTTATCCTATAGAAAATTAACATTTTCCGGCTTATACTTTCTTCTTTTAGTAGGACATGGCTTTATCTTTTATTTACTACTAACAAATTGTTGGACTGTATTTACCAGGTCTTTGGTTTGTTCCTCTAATGGCTTTCCAAATAAAAAGACTAGAAGGGATTATGATTACAGAGCATGGTATGCTGGCTTTAGCACCGAATTAGGAATTGAAACACTTGCTTCGCTTTCTGGATTTTGGATAAGTCACACCTTTTGAAATTCAGTTTTCTATTTTGTAGAAGCGGAACAGTAATATTTTTTCCTGAATACAATTACAGAAGTTGTTGTGGGGATTAAATCTTATATACATATAAAATCTGTATAAAAATTAGATGTTTAATGTTAATGAGTTTAATGTTAATGAACTTTCATAGCAGTTATTCTACTGCTTTATTGATGTTTCTTTGGGGCCAGGATAGATAAGGTTATAAATGTTTAGTAACTAGTTACAGTGAAAATTATATACTACTTTAATGCCTGCTTCTTAATGTAAGTGCCATTGAGTTGCTTCTGACTCAAAGTGATCCTTTATAGGGTTTCTGAGAGCAGCTGGTGGGTTTGAACTGCTGATCTTCGTTTAGCAATCTGGTAATTATCTTACAGCGCCACACTAGGGCTCATTTATGTCTTCTTCTTAGTCCTTGAGAATTATTTTGAAATATATACCAAAAAGTAGAATCTGTTAAGAGAAATATTCTAAAATGTCACCTTTTCTCTGTGTGCTCAGCTAAAGGAATTTGCCGTTTGCTATTTTTACTATTGGAAAATATTGCATTAGTGGCAATACAGATACACGAGGAAGCTTCAAAAAGTTTATGGAAAGATGGAATTTAAAGATAATAAAATTTTTCCATGAACTTCTATTTTCCTAAGTAGTAATGAAGTGCTAAAGTAGTTGTTTTCAGAAGTTTTAGACTTATGAATACTAACAATTATGTCAAAACATTATTTCCTTTGAACTGAAAGAACAATACATTTTACACTTAAAAAATACATCCTTTTCACCAGTCAAGCTAAGCCATTTGGGACCATGCTGTGGTAGAGTTCTTTGCCTTCTCTTCATGGACCACTCTTCTCCTCCAGCTATAATGGACGCATTCTGGTAACGGCTCAAGCAGTGTTTTTTCCAGAAAGGCTTTCTGTGTTTTCCTCCCTCCTCCTCCTCTACCATTCAAAGGTCTCTGCTCTGTGTTCCTATAGCATTCTGTATCTACTTCTATTAATTTACTATACTATAAGTTGCTTTTGTTAAGTGCCTTCAAGTCAGTTTCAAGTATAGTGGGGCCCTATACAGGGTTTTCAAAGAGCAGCTTGGTTTGAACCTCCAACCTTGTGGTTAGCAGTACAGTGCCTTTCCTACAGTGCCACACCAGGACTATTCCCGTATTATTTTTGAGGGACAAAGCTATATCTATATTTATTTGGCTTTGTTGTTAAGTGCAAGTTAGTTCTAACTCACAGTAACCCTATATAGGGTTTCTAAGGATCAGCTGATGGGTTTGAACTGCTGACCTTGTGGTTTGCAGTCCAGTTCTGATCCTACAGGACCACACCAGGAGCCCTATTGGATATTAGTTTAAGCTTTTGTCTTACATAAATGTTGTACCTGTAGTTCTGAAATGTCATCCTAAGTGGTTTTTTGAGACATAATTTTTGGTGAAAGATTAGAGCAAAAAGGGTGGATTTTTCTAAAGCAGTTATTGGATTTTCAGTAGCAGTTTTGTAAAATGGTATCTTGATTTTTAAAAAGATTCACAATGAAATATGAGAAGAATTTTCTGATTTTCTTTTAATCTAGGATTGTACCTCTGCCTCCACCTCCTCTGCTGCCACCTTTGACTACTAACTACCGAACTCCTTATGATGATGCGTATTATTTTTATGGAGCCAGGAATCCGTTGGATCCCAGTCTTGCTTATTGTACGTTAACTGAAGAGTAACATTTTTTGTGTAAGGAAAAAATATCTATAAAAGAGAAAAGCACAACTCTCTTTAATTAAAATACTTATATTTATTGACTTAATACATTCCCTATTTTAAAACCTTGTATCTTCGTAGTTCATACCTGTTGCTCTAGAGTTAAATTTGTTTTGTTCTCTAGTGTTATTCTTTGTTAACTCCTAACCCAGAAGGAAATATTGATACTTTCCCTAAGGTAAAATTTTCATTATGTGCCTTTTACTACAGGGTTAAATCAAGTGTTATTCAATGGGTACCCTAAGATGAATGTTTGGTTTCTTCTTTGTAGATGGTCCAGGAATGATGGGAGTTCAGCCTGCTGCCCACGTCAGCATTCCAACTGTCACCTACCAGCCAGCTCAGCCTAGCGTGTAAGTTGTTAGTTCAAGCTATGATTTCTTTAAAAAACTGTTTGTCTTTCGAAGAAACTATATTATTCAGCTCCTTGTTTTCTTCTGTTGTTGTTAAGCGCCATTGAGTTGGTTTTGATTCTTATAGTGACCCTGTATAGGGTTTCTGAGAATTGGCTGGTGATCTTGAACCAGCTTTACAGTCCAGTGTGTTAACCTACAGCACCACACCAGGACTGCTGAACAGATGTATGTAAATTATTTTAATTTATAATGGGTAGATAACCAGTATGCTCAGAGCTTTGCTTTTGACGCAATATTTTATAGAAAGTACATTTTGCAAAAGAAGAATAATCTTATTTTTTCTCATTATAAAAATCATGCATGCAGTTGTTAACAACTATCAGTCAATTTCCTTGTGAGTTAGGAATTAACAAAGAACAACAGAAGAGCACAAAATAAATATTTTTTAACTCTAGATGAACAGGATTTAACTATGAAGTACAGCTAGGTTGTTAAATAGAATCAGAACACAAATAGATCAGAATACAAACAAACAAAAAAACTAGCTAACATCTTATTAACCCAGATGCAATCATAGTTGTATTCATGATGACATGTATACACACTCAACAAAAGTAAACACAACACATACCAAAGTAATATTATATGTATATATGATTCTGTAACATGCTTAAAAATGAGCAACCTATTATAAACATATTGGAACACATGGTGTGGCGCTATAGGATCAGCACTGAACTGCGAACCACAAAGGAGCTGCTCCTTGGAAACTCTTTATAGGGTAGCTGTGAGTTGGAACTGACTCAATGGCACTTAACAGTAGTGCTATAGTATAAGTACTGACTGCTAACCACAGGTCTGTAGTTCAAATCCACCAACTGCTCCACAGGAGAAAGATGAGGCTTTCTGCTCCTGAACAGATATACTGCTTTAGAAACCGTATATGGGGTTGCTGTAAGTCGCAGTCAACTCGATGGCAACTTGTTTATTATAAACATTCAGTTTTTATTGTAATCATTATTCCAATGTCAGTAAATGCTTAGCATCCTTTTTTTTTTTTTTTTTTTTTCTTTTCTTTCTGGTTAGGCTTTTTAAGATAATTGTGATTTACATACAATTGTAAGAAATATTACAAAGAGATCCTGAGTACCCTTTCGTCAGTTTCCACCAATGGTAACATATTGTAAAAGTATAGGGTATTGACATTGATATATTCAAGATACAGAAAAAACATTTACATCACATAGTGCCCTTTCATAGGCACTGGTAACCATTAATCTCCGTTCCTATAATGCTGTTGTTTTAAGACTGTTGCACAAATTGCACCATATGGTATGTATAACCTTTGGAACTGGCTTTTTTTTACCAGCATAATATTCTGGAGATGCATCCAGGTTGTTGCATGGCTAAAGCTTGCTCCTTCTTATTGCTGAGTAGTAGTCTCTATTGATGTACCACAATTCTACCATTTACCTGTTGCAGAATTTCTGAGTTGTTCCCAATTGTGGCTATTTTGATTATTTGAGTCATTTTTCTGTGTGCGAATGTAAGCTTTTGTTGCATTAGGATACATGCCAGGGAGTGTTCTGGTGTGGCACTGTGGGTTAATGTGTCAGACTGCAAGGTCGGTGGTTCAAGCTCACCAGCTACTCCTTGGAAACCCTATATAGGGTCACTATGGGTCGGAATTGACTCGGTGACACTTAACAATAAAACAGTAGTTGCATGTTTGTTTAGTTTTTTTGTTTGTTTGTTTGTTTTCAAGAAACTCAGTCATGGAAACTAGTATCTTCACAGCAATTATGGAAATTTAAGTATCTTTAAATCTTTGCCTGCATTTGGTTTTATCACACAGTATCTTTAGTTTCCAAGTGTTTGGCAATTTTTTTCTACTTTTCTTTCAGGTGTGTTTTATGTCTCAGGAATGGTCTGTTGGTGTATGTATTTTGGACACTTGAAAAGAGTGTATTTTTTGTTGCTACTCAGTGGAATGTGTTCTGTAAGTGTTGAGTAGAATTTTGTTGGTTGAGGTGATGGTGAGTGCTATATCTTTGCTGATTTTCTGTCTGTTGAGAGAAAGATTTTTAGAGTCTTCAACTATATTTATGAACTTATCCATTTCTTTTTGTTCTTTTAAGTTCTATCAGTTTTTGCTTCATATATTTTTAGCTCTATTATTTGGTTTAGACACATTTAAGGTCGCTTTGTTTTCTTGGCGAATTGATCCATTTATCATTGTATATGTCCCTCTCTTTCCCTGGTAATTTTGTTTGTTCTTTATTTAATGTTAGTATAGCCATTCCTGCTTTTCTTTAATTGATATTTTTACTTTCAGTCAGACTATATCATTATACTGAAGTGTGAGATTTTGTAAGCAGCATTTAATCTGACTGTTGTTATCTTTCAGTTAGTATATTTAGATTGCTTATATGCAACAGCAACAACCTGAGTCCCTACTAGTCTATTACTGAGTGAGTGGAGCAATATAACATTGCTATTGTTAAGTGCTGTTGACTCGGTTCTGACTCATAGCGACTCTGTATAGTGTTTCCAAGAAGCGGCTGGTGGGTTTGAACCATGGACTTTGAAGTTCAAGCTGACTTGTGGTCCAGTGCATTATCCCACAATGCCACACCAGGACTAGGCGGTTTGAATCCACGAGCCGTTCCTCGGGAGGAAGATGAGGCTTTCTGCTCCTGTAGAGATTTACACTCTTGGAAACCTTACACAGGGTTGCTGGGAGTCGGAAACAACTCAACAGCACATAACAACAAACTATTATTAAGAAGTCAAAATGTCACTTTGAGGATTAAGGTGCGCCTAACCATGGTATTTTTAGTTGCCTCGTATGCGTGCAAAGTCTAGTCAGTAAGTAGGAAGACCAAAGAAGAATTGATGCATTTGAATTATAATATTGGTGAAGAATATTTGGTATACTTTGTACTGCCAGAAGAATGAACAAATTGTCTTGGAAGAAGTACATCCAGAATGCCTCTCAGAAATGATGATGTCCAGGCATTGTGTTTCATGTACTTTGGACATGTTTTTAGGAAGAGACTAGTTCCTGAAGAAGGACATCATACTTGATAAAATAGAGGGTCAGGAAAAAGAGGAAGATCCTCAATGAAATGGGTCAACACAAGTGATTGCATCGATAGGCTCACACAGAACAACAGTTGTTTTTTTTATAAAGGTTTTATTGTGAATTATGTGATAGTTTACTGGAGAACATTAGCTTTAATAGTCATCCTATCATATATCGTTTCATTGCCATGGTTACAATCCCCTCTATGTACTGTCAACCAACCAAAGGATAAACCCTGCAAGCCTGCCCCGCTGGTGGTCAGCACATAGCCCCTCTCCCTCTCTGGGTCTGAAGTCCCCAGCCTCTCCATCTCTCCCCTTCATCGTCTCTGTGTCTATCTCTGGCGTCACTGCCTCTCTGGGTAGGGTCCTGCTCTCTGCTCTTCTCCCTTGATGGTCCCAGGGACCTCTACTCCTAGACTACAAAGTCAGTCACTCTCCTCATTTTGCTACAAAATGTCTACATCTCCAACCCTCACATTCAGTCCTGATAACAATTATTCACTATTGTACCACAAGAGACCTATGCCCATTTCCTTTCATCAGTCCTGCCTAGACAGATTGGATCCTACTCAGTGGAGATTGTACCTTCCTCCATGCCCTCTGTATCTAGGCTCCCTTTTGAAAGCTTGTAAGCTTCTTGCCACCTCCATTTTGGGTAGCCAGTGTCCAAGTTGCCCATCCCTGTCTACTCGGTGTATGGAGGGGATGGGGATGATTCTGCTGTAAAGATTTGTTCCCTCTTTTGAGCTACTGCATCCATAGGTGTAGGTCAAGGTCATTAAATTGTATCAGGTTACTCTTTTTTCTCTCTCCTTTCTTCTTCTAGTTGAGCTCTGATCATCCAGTCATTGAAGCCAGGTCCAGTGGGTATTATCTACAAGTGTGGATGTTCTTATCTTATGCATGTGCCCTCTCTTATCAGCTGGATGCTTCACGCTCCATTCTGGTCCTCTGTGGCTATATCACTGACTCTTAGCCCAAGAATCCACAGGTCTTACCACACTGCTGGCCAACCAGGTCTCCACCCAGATTCACAGGAGTCTACTGAATGTTGTAGGGCTTAGCTCGCACCTTCCTTGCTGTTTTTCCCTCACTTCACCTTATTGGTGATGAACATGGTCACCAATCAAGAGCGCATGTCTGCTCGTGTATTCCCATTGGGTCTCAGTCTTGGAAGAGGGTTTGCCCTGAGGGAACCTGACCACTTGCCGTGATGTCTCCTGGGCGAGCAACTTGCTTGTTCTTGTAGTAGTCAGTCAGTCTGCTGTTATTGTTTTGTATTTTTCCTGTTGGTCTTTCTTTCAGGAAGTACCTTCTGTTCTTCTAGCCGTTCCAGGCTGGTCTGCTTGTCATTTCAAGTGGAAATTTTCCACCTCAGAAGATACTGGGTGAGGTTCAGGCTTCCACCTATTGTCTATGTAATGCAGAGGCTCCCCAGGAAGCCTCCTTCACTGGGAACATTGTAGGCCCATTTTAGATATTCCAATCAGTTATAGGCAGAAGACAGATTTACAAGCTTTCTATGGTGATATTTCTAGCTATTCCTTTCTCTCCCCCTCCAGTTATCTATCTTCTGTTATCTATTAATTTTATCTGTGTTTGATAGTGTTTTTATGCCCAAAATTAGGATCTCTAGCTTTGTCTCTGTGTTATTCTTCCAGGAATTTTGTAGTCTTAATTTTCCTGTTTAGTTCTTTGATCCATTTTGAGTTATTTTTTGTGTATGGTGTGAAGTATGGATCCAATTTCATTTTTCTGTAAATGGATGTCTAGTTTGCTAGCAGCATGTGTTCAAGAGATAGTCTCTTTCCCATGCAATGGACTTTGACCCATTGTGGAAGATTAGCTGTCCATAGATAGAATTTACTTCTGGGCTCTCAATTCTCTTCTTTTGGTCTGTGTGTCTGTCATCATACCAGTACCAGGCTGTTGTGACTACTGTCACTGTGTAGTAAGTTCTGAGATCAGGAAGTATGAGGCCCCTACTTGGTTGCTGTTCTTCAGTAGTGCTTTAGCTTTTCAGGGCCTCTTTACTTTCCATATAAGGGAGGGTGTTAGCTTTTGTCAAATAGTTGTTAATTTTTTTTAATGTCTATTGAGAGGATTGTGTGCGGTTTTTCTTTATTTTGTTAATATGGCATATTGTTTGGATTCATTTCAGATATTAAACTAGCCTTGGGTTCATGGAATAAATCCCACTTTGTTACAAAGTATAATTATTTTTCTATTTTGCTGGACTAGGTTTGTCAGTTTTTTGTGGCTTATAGGTTTTCGGGTATTTTTCTTTTTCTTTTGATGCCTTTGTCTGATTTTCAGATACTAGCCTAATTGGATGAGTTAGAAAGGTATATTCATTTGTCATTTGTTACAATTCTCTATAAAGGGTTCTTTCTTAAGATGTTGGGTAGAATTCACCAGTGTAGCTAACTGCTCTGGTCTTTTCTTTGTGGAAATTTTTTTGACTATGAATTCAATCTCTTGTTATATTTTATAATTTTGTATTTTCTAGTTTTTTCTTGAGTTCTGGTTATGTGCGTCTTTCTAGAAATTTGTCTTTTACCCATATTATCTTAATTTATTGGCACACGGTTGTTCGTAGTATTATTTCCTTACAGTCTTTCAAAAAAGATTTTAAGGTCAGTAGAGATGCTCTGTCTTTTAGTCCTAATTTTAGCCTTCTCTTTTTCTTGGTCAGTTTAATGAAGTGCTTGTAAATCTTGTGAAGTTTTTCTGAGAAATACTTATTGATTTAATTGATCTACTCTGTTGTTATTCTTGTCTCCATGTACGTTATTCTCTAAATTCTTTTATTGCCTTCCTTCTGCTTACATTTAACAGCAATATTTTTGATGTGGGGAAGAAGTAATTATATTACAGCACATGTATTAATTCAATCATTAGTTATTATTTCATTTGAGGGCATTCAGAAAAGTGTGTAATGTTTTATGTATCAGAAAGTTTTCATCACATGTAATTGCCACATATGTGAGAAAACAGACCTAATAAATTTAAAAGTTCCATGGATCATCAGAGTAGAGACAGGGAGGATGTCTTAGGGAGGGTCTGCTTAATTAAAGATTCCTCTTTGACTTAGAGAGAAATGTCCTTCCTATTTTTAATTCTATTTATGTGATTACTATTTCAAAGGAATGTTGTATTTTCTTCTTTTGGTGTTGCCATAGATGGATTTAAATTATTAATTGTGTGTTTGATTCAGGAATATGGTTGGACAGAAGGAACTGAAAAGTACAAGTGGCCAAGCAGTAAACTCGGGATTATTTTTTGAAGACAAACCAAAGCCTTCAAAACAATCACTGCAATCTTACCAAGAAGCTTTGCAGCAACAGGTAGTCATTCATTCGTTCATTTAATGTTGAATACCTTATGTGTTAGTGCAGTGATTCCATAGAACTCAGAATCTGGCAGGGGAGAAAGAAAAGAGTAGATTATTATTCAGTATGATAAGTTTTGACGTGAATAGACTGGAATGATGTAGAAGGCAGAGGAAAGGGAGAACAATTGCTTGGGCAGTTGGGAGAGAGCTTCACATAGTAGCTAATTTTTGAGTTAGGTGTTGCTGAATGAATACGTATGAAATTTCTGTATTTAGGGGGATGGAATTGGTGTGCTTGTAAAGGAATTGTGAGAGATGGTACTGAAGTGGTAGATTGTACTAGTTTGTGAAGGACTATTAAGGATTTTTCAGTTTGTTGTTTTTTAAAGGGATTATCAGTTTTATCTTGTAGGTATTAGACAGCCAAAGGTATGAAATAATTTACTCCCAAAGTGGAAGTTGATAAGAACAGATTTGCCTTTTAGGAAGGTATCTGGTTGTAGTGCGAACAATTGGAAAAGAGATATGGCAGGGAAACCTTTTGATACATTATTGAGGTAGTCTAAGCAGGAGGAGATGAGACCCATGCCCGACAAGGAAGCTGAGGAGGTTATGGTATCCAAAAGACAGAACTTGAGTATAGGGAAAGAGGAAAAACAGAGGGCTTGAAGATGATTGCCAGTGTTCTAATCCAGGAGAATCCTGATAGTGTAGACTAAGTTAGGGAATATAGGAACCAGAACATAATAATGGGTTCTGTGGTCATTTGTAATGTTTGAAGACAGTTTGCTTTAGAGTAATTATTAAGTGTTAGGAGTTTTTTTGGGAATACTCTTCTTGATGAAGAGACTGTATGATTCTTGGTAGATAACATGTTCAAATTAGCTTTTTTTGAAAGTTTCACTTGGGGTTCTTGTAAAACTCGTGTTCAATATTTACATGGCCAATCATTTGAATGGTGAATTAAAAAAAAAATTAATAGAATTTTGTATGTTGACAATCTTACAATTAAAAGTCTTGATTCTATCAGTTTTTGATGATGTACTAAAACACTACCAACAAAACTAGATTTTTCCAACTATAGTAGTTCTATTTTATGTATGGTGATTTCTTTGGCCCTGCTGGAGTGAAGAAAGGGTTGCTTAAATTACCTATGCATATGATTAAATTTTACAAACTGACTTTCTAAAATATAGCTATATTTTAGTTGTTTGTGTTACCACATATCTTTAGAGACCAACCCTGTACTTCGACTTGGTGATAATAGGAATGTATTTGTTATTGTATGTTTTTCATAAAATTGTACCTAAGGATGCCCAGTATTCCCTCCAAAGCTTTGAACCTTCATCTTCTCTGAATTCTGGGCATGGAGTTTGCCCAGGGTAGAGTGAGTCTGGAGTCCCTGAGTGGTACAAATGGCTACGTCACATGGCTGTTGGCCTGGAAAGCAATCTGATGATCTGCTGCTGAAAGATCAGCCATGGAGCAAGTACTGTTTTGGCCCACATGGGGTTGCCATGAGTCAGAATAGACTGTCCAGCAACTATCTTTTATTTTTTTTAAATAGGTCTGGTGAGGCGGGAGTAGTTAGTGCCTGAGCAGTTCTCATGACAAGTTATGTGAAAAAGGGAAGTAGGAAGATCCTAATGGTCCCCATGTCTCTGGTGAGATCTAGGGAGGAATACTTAAGGTTCCCTAAATAATTATTCTCGGAAAAGTTAGGGGCGGGAAGAAATAGATGGCGTAATTCAAAGTGGTATCAGTGACTACAGAGGTCTCTGGGTGCATAATGTAGAGGAGTAAACACTATGTATTGTAGCCACTGAAGTATTTTAAAATTGAGTATTTATATATGTTTGTGACTTTTAAATTGTCTGCTTAAATCTACTGAAAAAAAAATGTAGCTCCATTTTTTTCTAACAACAACAAAAAAATCTGATATTACTAATACCAGAATGCTGTATCAGAATACTTATATCAGAGTACGTACCAGCACCTATAATCAATGTTTTTTGTGTTGCCAAGATTCGGGAAAGAGAACAAAGAAGGAAGAAAGAACGTGAGGAAAAAGAAGAATACGAAGCTAAGTTAGAAGCTGAAATGAGAAATTACAACCCCTGGGGGAAAGGTGGAGGCGGTGCTCCTCTCAGGGATGCAAAGGGAAATTTGATAAGTATGTTATTCCCATTGAGTTGAGTGTGTGGTTTAATAAACTCAGTTATTGAACACTTTTAAAAAGTAGCTAAGAGTAGGAAGAAATGGGAACCATAGTCTATAAACCGAATCCTTTTAGTATGTTGCTTAATGACAAATAAGTATTTTGATTATTAATACAACAGAGGTTGTTGCTATTAAGTACCATGGAGTCAGTTCCAACTCAGGGAGCGGCTGGTAGGTTTGAACTGCCGACCTTGTGGTTCCAGCGCGTTATCTAGAAAGACTTTTATATTCATATAGTACTCATTTGTTTTATTTTGATGATAGTAATATACAACTGAAGGGAAAAACGTCATGCTAATTGTCAAGCTTTCGCCTTTACTACTGTTGTTAAGTGCTATCAAGTGCTGTCAAGTTGGTTCTGACTATTAGCCTCCTAGGAGGTAGAGGGTTATGCAGGAGCGGTAAAACCTCATGTTTCTCTTGAGGAGCTACTGGTGGGCTCAAACTGTTGACCTTGTGGTTTGTAGTCAGTAGGATTATGTCGATTTACCTTTCAACTATGTGTACTCAAAATGTTTTTATCCACTTATATACCGCAAACACTTTGAAAGATATGCTTCATATACAATGTTTCATGTTATAGTTTGTCTTTGACTCACTTTTAGCTAATCAGACTAAAAGTAGAGCAAAGATAATGAGTTGTTGAAAATTATTTGATTAAAAATTAATTAAAGGATAATAGAAAACCACTTATTAAAATTATAAAATTAAATTTCATGGTGATCGTTAGGTGTTCTATGTTATTGTGGGAATGGCTGGATGATGAAAGTACAAGACTGGATATTGACTTATCAGTGTTCCTATGAGTTACAGCTTTGTTTTTGTTGTTGTTGTTAAATTTGCCTTAAAGAAAAGAAAAGGTAATATTTGAGATCTATTTGTATTAGTAGGCTCACTCTTTTTTTCCCCCCTAAAGGATTTGTTCCTTTTCTGTCTTTATTCATAAGTACTTTCCTCATTCTATAAGACTGTAACTCTTGGTACTAAATTTAAATAGATGAATTTGGTGCTACATAGATGAGCGTTTCTTATTTTAATAGTTAAATGTGTATTTAATGTATGTTAGAAAAGCACTGGATCTATTTTTATTCATAATGAAGAGTTCTGTCACAAGCAGCCGAATTCTTAGTGGGTTAAAGCGGCATATGTTTACTTCTCACATATGTTGTGTTCTGATGCTTTTGGTTGGCTCTTCTCCAAGAGGTGTTCCTCAGAACTCCAGGCCTCTTCCATTGTGTCCTCATGGAATCTTCTACTTCTAGCTGCACAAACACAGTCCAAGGGTCAAGGAGAACAAGCTGAATTTTCATAGACCTTCTCTAGAAGTGGAGGAATATCACTTTTGCCTTCTGAAGCAGAGTTTGAGAAATTTAGGGTTCTTTATGCCCATAAGAATTTTTCTTTTATGTAAGAGTTATTAAAAAATTTGTTTTTAAAATATCCAAATACTGGGTTTTCCAAATACCTTTCTTTTCTTAATTTTTAGTTTAAATTCTGTTATGTTTATGAAAACAATTTTTATGATTTCAGTGTTTTTTAAGATTGTGAGATATATTTTATGACTACTGATTAGATTTATAAGCATCCTAGAGACTTGTTATGTGCCGTAGAGTCGGTTCCGACTCATAGCGACAAGGGTTTCCGAGGCTGTAAATCTTTACGGGAGCAGAAAGCCTCATCTTTCTCCCGTGGAACAGCTGACAGTTTCGAACTGCTGACTTTGAGATTAGCAGCCCGATTCGTAACCACTATGCTATCAGAGCTCCTTATCCTAGAGACTGTTTTCTAAAAGTCTATATATTTTAAATTTCATAAATTAAAAAAATACATATTGCTAATTGTGTTAGAGTTTGAAATTTGACTAAATTGACTCATAAAAGAGTTTACATACCAACCATGGATGGCTGAATAATGTGTGGCCTAGAAGATCCTTGGAGTTGATTTTATGTTGCTATGATGCTGGGCAGGTTCAGCTACGCTTCCTGATGAAGAAAGGCCCAGCTCTCTACTCTCAAATATCAGCCCCCAAAACTCTGTGAATCACAATATTCTGATCTGCTTCAGTTAACTATGAGGATGGTGTCGGACCAGGCAATGTTTTATTCCATTGGGTTTTAGGATTCCATGAGTTGGGACCAACTCAGCTGCAATAAAAAGAACTACAATATTTAGCACATCTCAGCCATTTTCTTTCCTTTCTCTTTTTAAAGGCAGCAGTGTCTTTATTACGGTAATGATACCATGCTTATTCAAAGTACTATATGATTTTAGAAGATGATACAAAAAAGTTTTGAAGTATTATATCATTTTATTAAGGTAAAAGAAGAGAGACACTTGATTTTTAGCCTTAACAAATTGGCAAGACTTTCATAATAACATTTTGGATATCATGACTGAAGAATCCAGAAAAGAATATTGCTAATAACAAATCGGGTTTTAAAATCTTTACGCAATTATTATGGGATAATATGGCACACCTTTTACTTTGTCTAAAGAAACTATTCTTTTGGAGAAACTAGTGAATACTATGGACCAAGGGACAAAAACTATATTCACATACTTTTGACTATGATTTCTAGGAGTTCAGAGACTCGAGACCATCTTTTACTTAGGCTCATTGGACTGCAGGTTGGAACTTGTAGTATCATTGCCCAAAGCAGAGACCATTCCTTCCTTCCTTCCTGCTTCTCCGAGTTTCTTTCTTTGTCTTCATCATTTAAATTTTTTTTTTTTTTAATTTAAGGTTGTTATTGTGGATTGAGTGAAAGTTTACAGGGCATATCATCAGTTTTACATTCAACAAATTGTACAGCTTGTTTCATTACAATGATTATAATCCCCTCCATGTACCATCAGTTAACAGTATTTCTCTCTATCTACTTTAGCTTTTTAAAAACAAACAAACAAAAAAACCACGCAGGCATATATAGTAATTTACATCTCCAAAGGTCACATTCTGCAAAGGTGCCTCCTGGCCACCACCTCTTAGTCCCACTCTTCTTAGTCCATTAATCTAGAGTCCTCAGCCATTCCCCTTCTCCATGCCCCCATTTCTGCCTCCATCTCTGGCGCTGCTGCTTCTCTGGATAAGGTCCCGCATTCTGCTTGTGCATTTCTCTCTTGATAGTCCTAGGGTCCTGTTTCTGGACTGTAAGATTAACCACTCCCCTTTTTTTGTTAAAAAAACTTCTACCTTTACAATTATGACAGTCGCAAATAGTCATGATAACAGTTATTTACTATTGAATCTTACGAGTCTTATCCCCATCTCTTTTCACCAGACCCATCTAGACAAGATGACAGCTATTCCATGGGGACTCTTTGTTTCCCCCCATACTCTTAAACTAAACTCCCTCTTGAAACCTTGTAAGCCAGTCATTTCATGCCTTTATTGCCCCCTCATTTTAGATAGCCAGTGTCCAAGTTGCCTGTCCCTATCTACCCTGTGCACAGAGCAGATAGCATTGATACTTGATTTGAAGATTCTTTCCCTCTCTGTTGATATTTAGAGTAACTACCACTCTGAGTATAGGTCAGGTTCATCAAATTGAAGCTATTTACTCTTTTTTCCTTTATCAAAAAAAAAAATTTTTTTGTGTGTGTTTTGTTTTGTTTCCATCTTCCTCTAGTCGAGTTCTGATTATCGAGCCATTGAGGCTAGATCAAAAGGGTACTGTTGTCTTCATCATTTTTTAATGAGTGCCCTGTTTTATTTTTTTAAACTTTTTTGTTGTGAATTGAATTGTGTGAAGATTTACAGAGTGGATCATCAGTTTTACATTCAACAAATCATGCACTCAGTTTCTTCTCAATGATTTCTCTCCACAATGTAACATCAGTTATCCCAATTCCTCCTTGCATTTCTTGTTTCTATTCCTCTTTTTCCAATCCTTCTGAATTTTGTCCTGGGTAAATAAATGCTGCCCTTTGGATCTCGAATGGCTGACCAATCTATGGTGTGTGTACGTCATTAGTGTTGTTGTCCCCTCTATATGTCTCCTCTATATGTCTATCTGTTGCTTGACTGAAAACTGAGCCATGGAGGTGAGTTCAGTTCCAGACTTGAAGGGTGACCAAGGGGTTCCACCAGTCACAGTAAACCTCATCTTTTTTGTGATGTTGAATTTGTTCTACTTTTTCTCCCATTCTATCCAGGACCTTTTAAGGCGATCCATTTCAGAGCAGTTGGTAGTGATAGCCAGGCACCATCTAGTTCTTCTGATCTCAGGAATATGGAGACTGATGTTTGTAAGGTCCATTAGTCCATTGGACTAATTGTCTCCAAGAGACTTCAGTTTTTGTCATCGTTCTTTCCTCCAGACAAGGAGAACCAATAGTTGCACCTTGCAGCTGCTCTTGAGCTTTTAAGATCCCAGTCATTACTGACCAAAGTAGGATGTAGAACTTTTTATTTGTGGACTGTGTTATGCCAACTGATTATGGTGTCTGCTGAGACTATGTCCTGAGTCCCCAGGCCCAGCAACTCTTTGCCTCAAGATGTTTGGTAATGTCTAAGAAGTTTTCATAACATTTCTCCTTGCTTGCTCGACCCTGTTCATGGATCTATTTGCAGCAAAGATAAATATACCCATGTACACATATCCTCTATCAGACCTTTATGTGTTTTGGGGTATACCTCCCGTCTCTCTCCCACACCTGTGTATCCACATATGTACCCCTGTCGAGTTGGTTTCAACTCAGAGTAACCTATATAGGGTTTCCATGGAGTGGCTCTGAGATTGAATCACCGACCTTGCAGTTAGCAGTCCAGTGCTTGTGCTACAGCACTACACCAGCACTTCTATGTTGTTGTTAAGTGCCAGTGAGTCGGTTCCAACCCATAGCGATCCTGTATAGGGTTTCTGAAGAGCAGCTGGTAAGCTTGAACTGCTGACCTTGCGGTTCAAACAGCTTTGCAGCCTGACACATTAGCCCACAGCGCCACACCAGTAC